TCTGAAGGTGAATGTTAAGGAAATCAAGCAGTACAGACAATAAATTTTACTTTAACATCTACAGAGAGCAAAACCCAGGTACACTATTGTCCTTCCACTACAGGCCCTGCCTCAGCAATGGAGACAAAGGTGGGACTATACACCTCTGGAATAAATGATGAGAAAATCAGGAATAGTCAAGATTATGAAGAAAAATTAGGAGTTTAAGTCACATTACTGATTTCCTCCACACAATTACTTAAGCAAAAATGCAGCTCAGCATGTTTGTATGAACACATTAATACCTCCCACTATTAAAACAAATGATTTTTTTGGGTACTGATCAGGAATGCTTAACAAAGTGAGGTTTCTTCCTATCAACAGAACTCAAAACCCCAAACCCAATGCAGTCAAGTGAATTCTGATTCAGTGACCCTATGTAGACCTGCTCTCCAGTTTCCAATCTTTATAAAGCAGACTACCTGCCACATTTTCCTCCCAGAGTGTGGCTGGTGGGTTCGAACCATTAATCATTTGGTTAGTAGCTGAGTGCTTAACCACTACGCCCCCAGAGCATCCTCTGTCATATAATACAACACTTACTAGAACAAGCATTTACTAAATGCCTATAAAGAGGATGCTGTTGTTAAGTATTTTGGAACTGGTTCTGACTTACAGGGACCCTGTGGTTTACAATACTCAAATGGAGAGGTTGCTGTTGTTATGTGCCATCGAGTTGGCACCCACTCATAGCGACCTCAAATGGAGATGGGCCACCCCAAATTTGGTCTTCCCGTTCCCTCAGAATTGTCACTAAGAATTAGCTTGTTTGAGCTGGTTGTCTCTTCTGCAGAAGATATGATAACAAAGCATATCTTCTTGTGCAGAAGGTCTGATAAAAATGGCAACAGAAGCAACAGGACATATTCTGTTTGAGCCACAATCTAAATTCTACTTTCTTTTGTCTCTTCCTTGTATAAAATTCTTCAATAACTCTAAGAGGACAAAAAAATGGTGTTGAAAGGCCCCCTCCTTTGTTCAGCTTCATAGTACCCTGTCCTCCAGGTACCTTGTACAGCAACCATGTGAGCCTTGTTTCTGCCCAGCAGTCTCAGGGTGTTATGTGCTTGACTAACTCCAATGGAAAACCTTAAGGAGCAAGCTCAGCTCAACTGTCCAACACATGGGCTTAGGGTGTTATGTGCTTGACTAGTAACTCCAACAGAAAGCCTTACACAGCTCAGCCCTTCAATGCAGGGGGTGATTACCATGTGCTGGAATTGACTCAAGAGAAACTGGTTAGGCTCTTTTTGTGTTTGTGTGTCTGCCTGGAATGTACAATTTTCCCTAGCTCTACAATCTGCCATTAAATCCCTAGGCCTTTCAGGCCAAGCCACAAGCCATCTCTTCCCTATAACTTCCACCATAGCATTTAATCCTGTTTGTTCTATAGGATGAGCACTAAAGCCTACAATCCTTAGCCAAAGGAAAATCACCCAAGTCCATTCTGTCAAGCTTTTCCCCTTTAGGTTCCTGGATGAATTCCTAATAGAAAAAAGGATACTGAGATCAACAAAAGGAGGCACCTTGAAACCAAACGACAGAGCGACTTGAGGTAAATTTAAATTATTAACATTAAAGATTTGTTTCAGAGAATGT